ATAGTAATATTTAGGCAATCTGGCAATATTAATAGTAATATTAAGGCAATCTGGCAATATTAATGGCGAATATAATATTAAGGCAATCTGGCAATATTAATGGCGAATATAATATTAAGGCAATCTGGCAATATTAATGGCGAATATAATATTAAGGCAATCTGGCAATATTAATGGCGAATATAATATGTAATGTTGACTTTTTTATACATTATTTGCCAAAATCCAATTAAAACATTTTCGATCAACATCTCAACATCTCATAAAATAATATTGTTTACTTCTTTTAGGAAAGGGGCTTTGCCCCAATATCCCCCCCCCCGTTTCACAAATATAGTGGCCAAAATTTGCTATTTTTGCATCAAGTTAAGGTATAAATAACTTGTTGGAGAAAAATTGTAGAATTACAAAATTTGTAAAGTTTCCCTTTAAATAAATTTCCCATACCCCTTACAAAAAAACCTTCCGGCTGTTTTGAGCGTTTATAAGGTTACATTCCCCCCTTTCTATTGCGAACTATTGTGCCTCGACCATAGTTTGGTCTGACATGATAAGTTTGATCCAACAATAGATAATAATTAAGGTCAGATACAATGTGCTAAAATTACTTAAAGGTATGAAACATTGGCCCTAGTTAACATTATAATGACACATAAGATATAGGTACAAAGATAGTTTATCCCCCCCCCATTCGTGTTANTATTCAGATATTCAGATATTCAGATATTCAGATATTCAGATATTCAGATATTCAGATATTCAGATATTCAGATATTCAGATATTCAGATATTCAGATATTCAGATATTCAGATATTCAGATATTCAGATATTCAGATATTCAGATATTCAGATATTCAGATATTCAGATATTCAGATATTCAGATATTCAGATATTCAGATATTCAGATATTCAGATATTCAGATATTCAGATATTCAGATATTCAGATATTCAGATATTCAGATATTCAGATATTCAGATATTCAGATATTCAGATATTCAGATATTCAGATATTCAGATATTCAGATATTCAGATATTCAGATATTCAGATATTCAGATATTCAGATATTCAGATATTCAGATATTCAGATATTCAGATATTCAGATATTCAGATATTCAGATATTCAGATATTCAGATATTCAGATATTCAGATATTCAGATATTCAGATATTCAGATATTCAGATATTCAGATATTCAGATATTCAGATATTCAGATATTCAGATATTCAGATATTCAGATATTCAGATATTCAGATATTCAGATATTCAGATATTCAGATATTCAGATATTCAGATATTCAGATATTTAGATATTCATATATTTGGATATTTAGAATCATCGATTATTCAAGCAACAAATTAAAAAAAAATAAATATTTGAAATTAAATCCCGTCTCTGTGCGTATAATTATTTCACCATCATCTTTTTACGTTTTATATCATCTGGTCTTCGGCAGTTTTTATAATAACGGCTGGATTCTCAACGTTTCGGGGGGGGGAGTAAGGGTTGAACATGGTGAGGAACTAGTTTATGACGTCATAGTCTTTATGACATCATCACTCCAACTGTATGAGAAAGGCCTAAATGACACCTTGAAATTGTGGCTTTAAATTAACGGACGTTGAAATTTAAACAATCGGACTTTATTCGTTATCATTTGCACGAAATTCGCCTACGCAAAAGTTCACAAGTTTTAAATATTCTTGGGTTGAATTTGTCCGTTTTTACTCAAATATTTAAAAGATTTTAACGCGGTAGGATTTGAGGATTTATTTTGAGTTTGAGGTTGGAAAGCGCGGCTCATCACCGTCGTTATTTCTATGACTCATTTTGCGCATTTCGGATAAAGAATATATCTACGTAGTTACATTTAGTCATAGAATAGCTTTTTTATCGCAAAGACAACTTTAATAAAAATAATAATAGAAATAATAATAATAATTTGAGGCAAATCGGTCCAGGGTTCATGAGTTATGATCAGACATACAGACAAAGATTACTATAACTTTAAAACATATTTAGGTTCAAGATACTTTGTTCTTTTTCCTTGTTATAAGGTTGTATTTTCATTAATGAAAGAAGATATAATTTATCAAATAACTATTAATTGAATAATAATTACAGAAGAAGCTTCAGCTCCATTAAAACTAGATCACCTATTGATTAAATTAAAATTAATTTTAATTTTAACATAATTTTCAATTTAGTAAAGAGATCTGCACCTGCAGTTAGTAAGATGGATCACATGCAGTTACGTATAAAAAAATTTCATCCTTAAATTTAAATTTACTAAATCTGCTTGTCCTTATCTGAACCGGCAGTCAGTTAGAACATTAACAAGCCCAATTAGCTTTAAATGCTACTTGGGTTAGCAAAGTCGATGCTACTTGGGTTAGCAAAGTCGATGCTACTTGGGTTAGCAAATTCGATGCTACTTGGGTTATCAAAGTAGATGCTAATTGGGTTAGCAAAGTCAATGCTACTAGGGTTATCAAAGTCGATGTTACTTGCATGGGTTAGCAAATTCAATGCTACTTGGGTTAGCAAAGTCGATGCTACTTGGGTTATCAAAGTCGATGCTACTTGGGTTAGCAAAGTCAATGCTACTAGGGTTAGCAAAGTCGATGCTACTTGGGTTAGCAAAGTCGATGCTACTTGGGTTATCAAAGTCGATGCTACTTGGGTTAGCAAAGTCAATGCTACTAGGGTTAGCAAAGTCGATGCTACTTGGGTTAGCAAAGTCGATGCTACTAGGGTTAGCAAAGTCAATGCTACTTGGGTTGGCAAAGTAGATGCTACTAGGGTTGGCAAAGCCGATGCTGCTAGGGTTGGCAAAGAAGATGCTACTAGGGTTAGCAAAGTCGATGCTACTACGGTAAGCAAAGTCGATGCTACTTGGGTTGGCAAAGTCGGAGTTGATCTGACCAACTTTTTTTTTGTGATTATAAAGTTTTAAACTTTTCTTAAATGAAAATTAAATACTGCAATGGAAAGTTCGACACATTTTTTAAATGACATATCAAAATGCGTGAAAAACTAATGCGTCACTAAGGATTAATGAAAACCATAGAGAATAGAATATATATTAGAGTGGAATTTAGACAATCCCTCGGTATGAATTTTGTCAGTCCCTTACAGCCTGAAAGAGAGTTCAAAGTGTACAAATCATGTAAATGTTCACAAATTATATGCAGTAGATACATTGATACAGTATGTTCCCTAGACTATCCATTTCAATTTCGAATATTTAAAGCTTTTAATTAAATAAAATAAAATAAATTAGTTGAATAAAAACATCATTTGATTATAGTTATAACGGAAAATCATCGTTTAAAAAGTGAAAGGCATAGAGTCTATGTGAAATGATCATTGGTCAATTATGAAACCAACCTATTTCATAATTTGGTTTTCTTTTAATATTAATTTTAGATTTTCTATAAAATGATATTCCAGGGCCCAAAAGGTTATATAGCATAAATATGTGAAGTACACCTGCAGTATGGAAACAGTACAACAAAATGGTCGTTTTACACTTTTTTCTAGTAAATTCCACTCTAATATATATTCTATTCTCTTTGATGAAAACCTAAAACTAGTCAAACATGACGATTTAAAGGGTGAATCAAGACTTCTGCCTTTAATATCGTATTTTTATGGTTTACAATAAATGATTTGGAAAAAGAAAGCAGTTTTTAGCTGGAGCTGATTTCTCACATATCTGATAATAGATAAAGTAATAGTATGAGGAGTGTGAGAGACACATCTTTAATATTTTGCAAACTACAGTAATCCTCATAAAACTGTGGAATAGGAAGACGATATTTAAGCACTTTCAATAAATTAAATATTATTAAGAAAACAGTATTACTTGCAGGGCTGCCCCTGACAAGGATCAGTCAGTAAAGCCGACCTATATATACAGAAACTCTTCAAACATGAAGATCCAATTAAGATTAAATTCATTCTCTGTCTTTTCTGTAGTCTTCAACTAACTGGCTTATTTAAATAATTTTACAACGCAAGAAAGAAGTTTATCGTTGTAGGAAATCATGAATATAAGGAAACAGACGG